TCACAGATGATGAATTGTGTAGATTTAGGGATCGTATTTAGGTCCCTGTCACTGTCAGGATGGATGTTCTCATTGCTGCCCATGCCTCCAAACTGTCCATTCACCCTAAAAGTACCAAGATGTACCTGGACCTGAAGCATCAAAATTGGGGGACTTGAATGAAGAAGGACATTATTGACTATATCTCCCGATAACTTACTTGTCAATGAATTAAGGCAGAATGCCAAAGACCCAGTGGTTTGTTGCAAGGCCTCCCTATTTTGGAATGGAAGTGGGAGCATGTAACCATAGACTTTGTCACCGATCTGCCCAAGACCTATTCCGGTCGTAATGCAATATGGATCGTTGTTGACAAGTTGACCAAAACCGTCCATTTTCTACCAATAAAGACAACGGTTTCTACCAGCATATTTGCTCGCCTATACGTCGAGGAGATTATTCGACTCCATTGCATCCCCTCGTTCATTATTTCATACCAAGATCCCCGGTTCACCTCCTATTTTTGGGACAACTTTCAAGAAGCACTTGGTTCAGAATTGTACTTCAGCACTACTTATCATCCCAAGACTGATGACAAGTCTGAACGTACTATCCAGACACTGGAAGACATGTTGCATGCTTGTGTCCTCGACTTTGGTGATAACTAGTATGAATATCTTCACTTTTATGAATTTGCTTATAATAGCTATTATCATTCTAGCATTAGAATGGCTCCATATGAAGCCCTATATGGTAGGCCGGGCCATTCTCCCACTTGTCATAATGAAGTTTAAACCAGTGTCGTTTAGGACCTGACTACATCTATCGAGAAATTTTCTATAGTTCGAAGGAACTTAGCCATCACCTAGAGTCGCTAGAAACCCTACGTCGACAACCGTAGAAGACCCTTGGAATTTATCGTTAGTGATTAGGTCTTCCTTAAGATCTTTCCTTATAAGGAAAAAACGTTGTTTAGTAAGAAGGGTAAGTTGAGCCCCCGTTATGTGGGACCCTTTCAAATCATGGAATATGTTGGACCCATGGCGTACCGCCTTGCTCTACCTTGAGAATTTGCTCAGTAAGGAAAACAGTATTAAATTAACATCGTAAGATTTCCAAAGTTTATTATTTTTATCTTACCATTTAGTTTCCTTGTTTACCTATCTCGTCATTATGAAGACCATTTGTTTGAATACGAAAATGGTACGTTAGCACAGAAGATCAATTATACAGTATGTCAGAT